AAAGGATATAACGTAGGGCCTTAACATTATCCGTGTTTTTCCTTTCCACTTCATCTTCTGGGTTTGGAGTCAGCACTTGACGTATAATAGTTGTATTCTATTTTAATATCCTTTGATAGACAAATTAGTGATTAGTGACATTTTGCAGTATTTGATGAAATCATGATATGGTCAAACTTGTGCTATTTTGATGTCATCTTTACAATCTGTGGATCAGCCAATTGTATAGTGGCCCATTTCAGTTTCTCCAGCACACGTATCTATATGTATATATGTATACACCATACACAATTATAACTAAGTTATAATGATTCATGTAAATTCGTTTAGCACACACTGTATTTGAGCAGGAAACTTGTTTTATCATTTGGTACCTTTGTTTATGGTAATTAACATATAGTAATTTATCACCCAAGTGAATAGTTACATGAGTCCGAGTATGGGCGGAGCCAGAAAATGATATTAGGATGGGCTGAAATTTAAAAATGGTTGAATGAACTTATGCCACAAGAAATCGAGTTTCGAATGCTATTTTCGTGACATTCACGATAAAAGTATATGACACTGAATAAAATAAAAAAAAGTTTAAATGTCTTACATTAAGATATTCCACTAAATTTTTTGTATTTTTTTTTTTTTTTTACCAAATAGAAAATCAATGCTTACCTTAAAAAATTTTAAACTAACCGAATCATGATAGAATTAAGCAAAAATACATATCCACCAATGAACATTTAAAAACTTATTTAATGAGTACTTTTCTAGTAACTTTAACAACCAGTCTTTCCAAACAACTTAAAGTTTTAACAAATATTCTTTTTATTATCAATATCAAATCTATAGTAAGTTATATATTTTGATCATAATATCTACTTTATGGTCAATATAAGTATTTTTTTTTATAACTATTAATTAGTAATAAATGAAAACATACATAATTTAGAAAAATATGTTGTGTCCCTAAATATTAAATAAGTAATTTACTTTTAGATTTAAGTCAAACATGCATTAAATAGAACATCTAATTTGACAATAAAATATTCACATTTCATGAATGTCTTGAAAGAGTAATTAATAATTGTGGTGTCTTTAATATAATTTGAACAATTGAGTATTGGACTTAGGTTGGGATTTAAACTAGAATTGGGCTAATGTTAAAACTTGGGCCAAAATTCTAATGTGTTAGGGGGACATTGCTGGGCTACAGCCTAGCATGCCCCCCACTACCTCCGCCAGTGAGTCCGAATATTATTCATACGAGGATATAAACAAAGTGTTGTTTATTTTTAGAAAAAGCACCATTTGTCATAAAATCAGGAGTTTCATTTGTGGATAATACTATTATTTAATTGCACAAGATTTCTGTTACATTCTAAAATTAGTACTTAGCTTGGTCCATGGAAGTTAACAGTTAGTTATCTTGTTTATATATGAAAAGGAACTAGATAGAACCATTATTGGTCAAAGTGATTTTGACAATAAGTTCTACTTATAAATTTCTAATGATGATGAGCGCTTCCTGTTTTACATATTGGCTCCTAATAATAATGATTAAGTTATCTTAAAGAATGAGGATATGAATTGATTTTAGCATGAATACTGTTGAAATTCTAAATGAATATTTATGACTAGGATATTTGGCACGTAGATTTCATAAGCGGCTAAGGACATCTTCACTTGTCATTTTAAATGTAAATTGCTAAGGATTTTAGGTAAGTAAACCTCCTATTGTCTTCATGTCATGTGATATTATTAAATGTTTGAATGTGTTACATAAATTTGCTATTACGTGAACATGATATTTAATTTTTACATTTTATGTCATGAATGTTTCATGCATACCCATGCACGTCAATACATCCATAATTATACATGAAGTTCCAACAAATAAAGTGTTCCCAAATGTCATGATTCAATGACTATTTAAATGTATGTATCCCGAATGTTTTGTTACGAGATGTATGTCTATGCCATGAAGGTGTGAGTGGGAAATGTGGGGTGGGAGACCGGCACACCCGACCAATGTTCAATGATGAATGATAAATGTTTAATGTTAATGTTAATGTTAATCGCTTTGCAGTACTACCGGTAGAATTCAATCGAGTTCCAAATAACATGGCCCATTGCATTCTGATTGGCTATAAGCGATACATCAAGTGAGCTCATGACGTTAATATTTTTAAAGACATGAAAGAATGAGGATACATATTGAGCAATGCCTTTCGTTTTAAAGTAATGCATACGCATATCATCAGCATGCATCATGAGCATGAGGTTTGCTTACTGAGCATTAGCTCATCCCACGTTGTCCCTCCTCATTTTCAGATGATGAAGGCATGATTATTCGAGATGACGGATTGTGGTGTTACTGACTCAGTACCAATATAGTTTAGATTTGACTTCGCTTTGAAATAAATTTAAATTTAAATTTAATTGTCTTATATTTTATTAAGTATATTTTATAATTTCAAAAGAATGTTAAATGATAATATTTCAAAAATTAGATATTTAATTTTGGGGGTGTCACAGCTTCTTTATGGATGGCTCGTCCGGAAAAGCCGGTTTAGGTGCCGGGTCGTCCTAGAAAGCTCGGAAGGCCATAAACTAAACTGCGCGATCAGGTTCGACTTCAAAGCCTCAAACAATATTGCTGAATATGAGGCCCTTTTAGCAAGCCTTATGCTGGCCAAAGAAATGCAAGTCAAAAGACTCCTATCAAAAAGTGATTCGTAGCTCATAGTAAGTCAGGTCAATGTAAGATTCGCTGCTAAGGACAGTGGCATGGCCGCTTATTTGAAGCTGAGCCTCATTTCCCATTTCGAAAAGTTCGAACTGATGCAAGTCCCATGTCTAGAGAACACTCACGCAGATGCCCTGTCTAAACTGGTCAGCAGCAAGGACTCCGAGCTATTAAAAATTGTTCCAATTGACCTCCTTCTGAATCTCTCCATTCCTGAAGGTGAAGAATTGATGTGGATTGAAGATACTCCACCCTGGATGCAACCTATCATAGCCTACCTCAAAGACCAATCAGTGTCGGGCTCAAAGAACGAGGCCAAGAAGTCGAGGAGAAGAACTGCTCATTTCATACTCCAGGATGATGTGCTATACAAAAGAGGCTTCGCGTCGCCTCTAAATGAGTGAATTTCACTCATTGATTTAATGCCACTTAAGCTTGAAATATTTGGTTGTTTTTGAGAAATTTAGAACGTTTTGATGCGGGTATTTGTGTTGTTTTATAAGTGAACCAATTTGGTGAAATGGTGAGTTTGAAGGGTGGAAAAGAGTCAAATTTACATAGAGGTGAATGGACAAGAAGAAGCATCGAGACGCACGTGAAAGACGATGGAAGAAAGAAGGAAGAAAACCAACTAAAGCAAGAGGGAAAGAAAAAAAAAGGGGGTAGAAGTGCAGCGCCTAGGCGCCACAAGTGAAGCAGAATTACAGTGCCCAGGCGTTGCACAACCAAAAAAAAAAGAAGCAAAGTTACAGCGCCCAGGCACCACAAAGCAGTGCCCAGGTGCTGCACAAGCTAAAACGATACAGAAACTCAGCACCTAGGCGCCACTTTTGTAGCGCCCATGCGCTGAATGCCGAGAAAGGAAAAATGCGATTTTTGAAAATATTTTTGACCCGGCCCAATTCCAACTCGTAATGCAAATTAAGGGGACTATAAATACATATTTACAGACCTAATTGAAGTGGTTGGATGGCTGAAGAAGTAGAGGCAAAGAGATACACGAATTGAGAGAAGAATCACTGGATTTGGAGAAGGAATCAAGCAGCAAACTGAGTTTTTCTTATCTTTCTTTTCTCCATGCGATTTAATTTGTATTTTATTGTGTTTTTCTTCTCAATCATGAACTAAATTATTAAATCTAAGATTTGATGTAACCTATTTGAGACATGATTTAATTTCTTTATAGTGTTTTCATTTACTTTTCCAGAATTGATTTGTATTATTCTTGCTTAATGCTTTCAGTTGCTTGATCACCAATTGAATGAATTGATGCTCTAAATCTAACACTCGAGAGAGGGAAATTTAGGCGTGATCTAAGAACAATATAACCTAGATTTGTAGGTTTTGAGAGAAAGTACGAATCTTTGAGGGTAAAACAAGAATCAAGTACGTGATAATCTTTATATATTTAATTCGGAATAGAGATATTGGGGTTAAAATATAGAGATAGGTTCTATTTGACGCTCGAGAGGGGGAAATAGAATTAATTTAGGATTCTTCCCTATGAATTCGGGAAATAATTAATGGAAGTATCTATATGGGTTGAGAATTATGTTGATAATACGGTGAAATCACTCCCTAGACTTTACGAAATTCTGATTTAATCTTTAGAAATTGCCTCACTTTTCTTGCATTATTAAATTCATCGACATTAGTTTAACATTCAAACATCAATTTAACATCCGATTGTCTAGATAAAGTACTCGCGGACATAATTATAGTACTCAGTTGAAGTCAAATATCAATCCATGTGGGTTCGACACTTTTCAATTCCTTAATATACTATAAAATTTGACACCGTGTGCTTGCGGTATAAAATCACATTATATAAAACGCGTGGCAGTTTTTGGCGCCGTTGTCGGGGATTCATTCATTCGAATTCAATTGATATTATTACCAATCGGCGTTCATTTTACTTTAGATTTTTATTTCTATCGTAATATTTAATTTAATTTTATTCTTTTTGTGTCTATCTTTAAAAGCTTCCTTGTGGTTATTTTCAGCTGTTTAGGCGAAGGGCGAGAAATCTAGATCTGCTATCTGTTGATCCTGAACCAGAACGCACATTTCGCATTCTCAGAGGTATACAAAGAAACGAACGGGAAGCAATGGAAGAACAGGATGCTAGAGCAGCCAATGAGGATAACCAACAAAGGGCTATTCGGGATATATAAGGCCGGTTGTCAATGACAACTATTCCGGCATCGCACACCCAGCAATTGCTGCAAACAATTTCGAATTGAAGCTAGGGCTGATATATATGGTGCAGCAAAATCAGTTTGGGGGTGCTGCAATAGAAGACCCAAATGCTCATCTTGGATCCTTTTTGGAAATTTGTGACATGGTGAAGATGAATGGGGTTACTAAAGATGCAATTAGACTCTGCCTATTCTCATTCTCTTTAAGGGATAAAGCAAAGGCTTGGTTCCAGTCACTACCATATGGCTCAATTACACTTGGGATGATTTGGCTCAGAAATTCCTCACCAAGTACTTTCCACCTTCTAAATCAGCTCAACTTCGCGGTGAAATTAGCCAATTCAAACAACTCGACTTCGAGCCATTCTATGAAACCTGGGAAAGATTTAAAGACTTTCTTAGGAGATGTCCTAAACATGGGTTCCAGAAATGGGTGCAAATTGAGATATTTTATAATGGGCTAAATGAGCAGACAAGGACTATGGTAGATGCAGTTGTGGGAGGCATTTTAATGGCTAAAATAGTAGAGGCTACATATGCTTTATTGGATGACATAGCTACCAACAGTTACCAATGGCCAAGTGAGAGATCGGGTGTAAAGAAAGTAGCAGGACTTCATGAAGTGGATCCCATCATCGCACTAGCAGCTCAGGTTGCATCACTCACAAATCAGATAGTCACGCTTACCACTCAAGATCAACAGAAGGTAGATTCAGTCATGAGTACTTCTTCATCACACCAAGAGACAGAGGTTGCAAACGAGCAGGCCCAATATGTCAATAGTAGAAACTACACTCAAAGAGGAAGCTACCAAGCTAATCACTATCATCCAGGGTTGAGGAATCACGAGAACTTGTCATATGGCAACAATAGAAACACACTTCAACCTCCACCCGGATTCAACACTCAGAATTCTGATGGGAAACCACCCTTGGAAGACATCCTTGGGACGTTCATTTCTGAGACAAGATCACGCTTCAACAAAGATGAATCACGGTTGGGTAAAATTGAAACACATGTGTCCAACATGGGAGCCACAATGAAGAATCTTGAAGTGCAAATTGGCCAATTGGCTACCTCAATGAAGTCTCAGCAAAAAGGAAAATTTCCAAGTGATACAGAGGTCAATCCAAAGGAGCACTGTAAAGCTGTTGTATTAAGGAGTGGCAAGCAAGTTGGAGAAAGTGAACCCACCGAAGATAGCAACCCCACACCTGATAAGGAGAAAGAACAAGTAGTAGAAGAGCAAGAAAAGCAAGCCAAAGGAACAAATAAGGCTCACGGAACTTACTCCATATCCTTCCCTGACAACCCACCAATTCTCACACTACCACTTCCATTTTCACAGCGTTTTCAAAAGAAAAAATTTGATAATCAATTTGCAAATTTTTTTGAAATTTTCAAGAAAATTCACATTAATATTCATTTTGCAGATGCTTTGGAACAAATGCCAAATTATGCAAAGTTTATGAAGGAAGTGATGTCAAAGAAGCGAAAATTGGAAGAATATGAAACAATAAAATTGACAGAAGAATGCAGCGCTATTCTTCAAAAGAAACTTCCTCAGAAGAGAAAAGATTCGGGCAGCTTCACTATTCTATGCACCATTGGAAGCTCTTCCTTTGAAAAGGCCCTCTATGATCTAGGAGCAAGCATCAACCTAATGCCGTTATCAGTATTTAAGAAGTTAGGCCTCGGGGAAGTCAAGCCAACAACAGTGACTCTACAACTAGCTGATAGGTCCCTCACTTACCCACGAGGCATTATTGAAGACGTGTTAGTAAAGGTCGACAAATTTATCTTCCTAGTTGATTTTGTGGTACTGGATATGGAAGAAGATCAGGAATTTCCACTGATTTCAGGCAGGCCATTTTTAGCAACTGGAAGAGCATTAATTGATGTGCAATGAGGGCATTTGACATTGAGAGTGAATCAAGAAGATGTGAGGTTCAATATCTATCAAGCAATGAAGAACTTGGACGACACCGACACATGCCATAGGATTGACTTCATTGATTCTGCTGTGCGCAATGAGAAATTATATATTGAAGATCCCTTGGAGCAGTGTATGATGTTTAGTTCAATAGAGAATGACATCAGCCCTTCTGGAGAATATGCAGGGAACAAAGACCTAGTTGATTGCATCTTGGCTCTAGAGTCTACACCAGTTGAAAACAACCTGTCACGGTGTGAAGATATTCAAAAATCAGAGGAGTCAGATGATAAAGAAAGTAGCGAAAGCAACAAGATTGAACTGAAGCAATTACCAGATCACCTCCGCTATGCATTTCTGGGGGACAATTCTACATTTTCAGTGATCATTTCTTCATCACTCACCAGAGACGAAGAGGACAAACTATTGAAAGTGTTGAGAGATCACAAGGCTGCTTTGGGCTGGTCGATAGCTGACATCAAGGGGATAAGTCCTACAGTATGCAAGCATAAAATCCTCATGGAAGATTCTTACAAGCCATCTATCGAACATTAGAGAAGGTTAAACCCAGCAATGAAAGAAGTGGTTTGAGCAGAGATACTAAAGCTATTGAAGGTAGGAATTATTTTTGCCATTTTAGATAGTGAATGGGTTAGCCCAGTGCAGGTGGTACCAAAGAAAGGAGGGATGACAGTAATTAAGAACGACAACAATGAGCTAATTCCAACTAGAATAGTAACTGGCTGGAGGGTGTGCATTGACTATAGGAAGTTGAACAAGGCAACTAGAAATGATCATTTCCCACTTCCATTTATTGATCAAATGTTGGACAGATTAGCTGGCTACTCCTACTATTGTTTTCTTGATGGATATTCAGGCTACAACCAGATCGTTATAGCACCAGAAGATCAAGAAAAGCCAACATTCACCTGTCTCTATGGAACTTTTGCCTACAGACGGATGCCATTCAGGTTATGCAATGCACCAGCCACTTTTCTGAGATGCATGATGGCAATCTTTGCAGACATGGTTGAGGACATTATGGAGGTATTTATGGATGACTTTTCTATGTTAGGTACTTCTTTTGATAACTACCTTCACAATCTCTCCTTAGTGCTGCAACGTTGTGAGGAAAAGAATTTAGTTCTAAATTGGGAAAAGTGCCACTTCATGGTACAAGAAGGAATTGTGCTAGGCCACCATGTTTCAGCAAGGGGAATAGAAGTAGATAGAGCAAAAATTGATACAATTGCAAAGTTACCACCACCCACCAATGTCAAAGGTATTCGAAGCTTCTTAGGGCATGCTGGATTCTACAAGAGATTTATCAAAGACTTCTCAAAAGTGGTAAAACCCTTATGTAACCTTTTGGAGAAGGATACAACGTTCGTATTTGATAAAGACTGCTTACGGGCTTTTGAAACCATAAAGGCAAAATTAGTCACTGCCCCAGTGATGGTAATACCAGATTGGGATCAGCCATTTGAGGTTATGTGTGATGCTAGTGACTACGTAGTAGGGGCAGTTTTGGGACAAAGGCGTGATAAGATTTTTCGGGCAATCCACTATGCCAGCAAAACTCTTAATGGAGCTCAACTAAATTACACAACAACAGAGAAGGAAATGCTAGCAATAGTGTTTGCATGTGACAAATTCAGATCTTACCTCATTGGCACCAAAGTGATAATTTACACGGACCATGCTGCAATCCGTTATCTCTTTCAAAAGAAGGATGCCAAGCCACGCCTAATTCGATGGATACTGCTACTACATGAATTTGATGTAGAGATTCGGGATAAGAAAGGCAGTGAGAATGTCGTTGCAGACCATCTCTTACGATTGGAGAATGAAAAGGTGGTGGATGACAGTCAAATTCGAGAAACGTTCCTCGACGAGATCTTGCTAGCTGTATTAACAAAGATCCCATGGTATGCTGATTTGGTTAACTATTTAGTGTCTGGAAGATTGCCAGCTGAATTGACCTTTCATCAAAAGAAGAAATTCCTACATGATGTCAAGTCATATCTGTGGGACGATCCAATCTTGTTCAAAGGGTGTGCTGATAGAATAATCAGGTGGTGTCTCCTTGTGGAAGAAACGCGATCAATCATGCAGCATTGCCATTCCTCACCTTATGGAGGTCATTTCGATCCTACACGTACTGCTGCAAAGGTATTGCAATCTGGTTTCTATTGGTCAAATTTGTTCAAAGACTGCTATGATTTTGTGAAGATATGTCACCGCTGTCAACGCACTGGAAACACTTCAAGACATCATGAGCTACCATTAACTAGTATGCTTGAGGTGAAATTATTTGATGTGTGGGATATTAATTTCATGGGTCCGTTTTCACCTTCCTTTGGTGGGTTGAAACTATTGCCACACTAACAAATGATGCAAAGGTGGTGTTGAAATTTTTACAGAAAAATATCTTCACTCGGTTTGGCACGCCTAGGGCAATCGTAAGCGATGGAGGTACACATTTCTGTAACAAGCTGTTCAATTCTCTTCTAGCTAAGTATGATATCAAGCACAAGTTGGTACTGGGTTATCATCCACAGTTAAATGGGCAAGCAGGGGTGTCTAACAGAGAGATTAAACAGATTTTGGAAAAGACAATGAATACCAATCGGAAGGACTGGTCTCTCAAACTAGATGACGCTCTTTGGGCATACCAAACAGCATTTAAAGCACCAATTGGAATGTCACCCTACCGTCTGGTATTCGGGAAAGCTTGTCATCTACCGGTAGAATTGGAGCATCGAGCTTATTGGGTCGTAAAGAAATTGAATTTAGACATGAAATTGGCCGGTCCACAACGCTTGTTGCAGCTTGATGAATTGGAGGAATTCCGGAACGATGCATATAAAAATGCAAAGATATATAAAGAACGGACAAAGATGTGGCATGACAAGAGAATACTAAGGTGGGATTTCAAGGCAGGAGAACCGGCTTTTCTATTCAATTCTCGCTTGAAACTCTTTCCAGGCAAGCTCAAATCCCGGTGGTCAGGACCATTCGTAATCTGTAAGGTGTTCCTTTATGGTGCAGTGGAATTAGTAAGCAAGGATGGGTCTACCTTTCAGGCAAATGGGCAACGCCTCAAACATGACTATGGAGAGGAAAATTGGGATGTGGAAGAAATTACCCTTGATGAACCAACTTGAAACCACATCCACGTCCAGTTAAAGATGTAAAAGAAGCGCTTCTTGGGAGGTAACCTAAGCTCTATCCTTAAGTTTTCATAAAATTTATTTATTTCGATTTTCGTTATTTTACCCACGTTAGTAATTTTATTTTCATCTTGTTTTTATGGGAACATGCTCGAATTGGAAGCATCGAACCAAGAAAGGAAATGGGGAAGGACCACATTGAAAGACTACATGGAAGGTATTATTATTATAAAAAAAAGAATTTTTTTTTCAGAAACTCAGTACCCAGGCGTTGGACTCCCCAACTGGAGCAGAAATTCAGTGCCTAGGCGCTGACATCTCGACGCCTAGGCGCTGATTTTAAAAAAAATTTGATTTTATATAAAAACCTACCTTCCTCCCCTAATTATATTATTTTTCCCTTCCCCTTTTTCCTCCCTCTCCCGTAAGTTTTGCTCCCCTCTTCCCTTTCCCCATTTAAATTTTCTTTTGTAACACAATCAATATACTTTTCTTGCATTTCATACTCTATGATTAGTAAAGGGGCCACTTGCTTGATCTTTGGGATCACCATCTTTCCACTTGTAAGTCCTCTTACATTCATTTTTTTTATTTGCACTTCAGCTTCATTTTTTTATGGTAATGGGTGATTGATTGGGTATATTTGGATTCTTGGATGTTGGAGTTGTGGTGATTGAATTTCTGATGGGATTAATTTATTGCTGGGATAGTATGCAAAGTGTGATGGAATAGCCTTGCTCACAAGGTGTTTGATTAAATTCCTAGGAGAGTTTTTCTAGTTGTGGTAACCTCAAGTTAATTGCTAACTTTTGCATTTTGCTCAGGTTTGTTTATAATTCAGTATGCCTCCAAAGAGGGCTCGCAACACTACCTCTTCTTCCTCTGCTTCTTTTGACAGAACCAAATTTATTAGTGAAGCAACTGCAGAACGGTACAACACTTCGGTGGTGCACAAGAACTGTATTCAGGAGCGGGGTTTTGACAAATATATGACTACACAGATCCAACAGAGGGGATGGCAAATATTTGCTCAATAGCCGCATGTGACACCCTGAACTTAAGCTTCGAGGCGTCACAGCGTGGTATCAGAGCAAGGTTTACTTTTCTGTAGACTTTTTTTAAAAGAAAGTTACTGTCCTTTATCATCGAGGAAGCTAGCAACTGACTTTCAACCAACGATCAAGGTAAAATTTATTTTTAAATTCATGAGTTTTCTTATGTAACGAACTGTTATATCTATGGCTGGATATGGGAATATTTTAAATCAAGTCATGGTAGAGATTATGAAGTCATAAATACTTATATCTAGATATTTATGAGAACCTTGTAGAGTAACATAATCAATGTTTGTCCTAGTTATGGCACGAATGGTAAGAACCCCCACAAGGACATAAGCTTGTGGTTTTGCGAAGAAGCGGGACATATTTTGGCATTTTACTATAATTATCGTATGCATCCGCTCCATAGTCTCGAACAACATTTGGACCTGCTAAACTGTATTATTGGGATGTTATGGGAGATACACCATAGCTTAAGGGATAAGGTGAAGATACAAAGGTTATATGAAACTGTTCCAGAACCTTGGGCCTCAGTCATAAATGAGATTGTGCTATGGTCTGACGATGACCTTTCGTATGAGGACCTTACATATTTGCTTCGGGAAAGTTATGGAATTAGCCCTGATTTACAGCGAAACTTTAAGAAGACTATAACCTTATCCATGAATACCAGTTTACGAGCTACCAATTCTAGACTAGTTAAGGGACCGTTGGCTAAGTGCTTTTCGAGAATTCTAGATGAAAG